TGTATGAATATAATATACAAGTTTCACTTTTTGAATGGAATTACTGAAATAAATCTACTTTTTCATGATATTCTAATTTTATGACCAGCACCTGTACATACCGGCCTCGACTCAAACTACAGGAAACCTGCCCCTATTTGGACTTCATGACCCACCATTGCCAAGCAACATTAGCCCCTCAGTGTTACTAATGCTAACACTATGCTATAAACAATGAGCCATTGTAGGTCAGGGAACACAAATCAACTAGTTTCCCTTGGTTTGTGGAACACATTTACCAACACCGCCCCATAAATATATCATCGCAAAAAATGCCTTTGATTGAGTTGGTCTTGAGTTTTAATAACAGCACCAATTTTCTTTCCAGGACTGTACTCTGTCAAACCACCAATGATCATCACCTGCATGGCTTTGTTTAGAAATTATAATCTGGTAATCTTGCAAAAAAGCACAATGTGAATACAAAGCACACCAAACAAACAAAAAAATTAAACGAATACAGAAAAAAAGTACTTTTAATCCAGAACAAACAAGTGGACAAAAGGATTTTCCTGTTGTGAATACACCCTTATTTTCTTTACTTCAGAGCAGCCTGAATGTGTTGTAGTCTTATGAAGTGGTTTAGATCAACAGATTTTGATTCTTGATAAACTTTCCTTTATTCCCCCTGTGTTGATCTGAAAGATGAGAAATGTCCTAAAGATTTACCTTGGACCTGAGGATGGTTCATGAGGTACAGAAACCCAGTCAGGAGGGTGTTGGAGGTGGTGTCAGTTCCAGCAAGATAAAGATCAAACGTGATCCTTCTGAGCTGTTCCTCAGAAAATGAAGAATCTTCTTTCTGGACAGAATGCAGAGAATATTGTAAGAGAAACAAAATGTAAGATTTGTGATAACGCTAAGTCAGCATCCAGATGTTTTCCTGGTTTTAGTTTTTCTATACCTGTCTCACATTCATCAGCATCATGATGTTGAAGTTTTATATTGTGTTCACACACCTGTTTATCCAGTTCATCCAGGTAGCAGTCCACAAAGTCTCGAGGTTCTCCAGGGGTCCTGGTACTCTTGTGCTCATTTACCAAACCATTTGAAAAGTTTAGAAACATCTAAAACACACATCACAGATTTAATTAATACTAATAATACGCAGACTTTATGTTGGGTTTTGAGTTTAAACTGTTCATAATTTACCTCCATGTTCTTAAAGGCCTTGTTGAAGGGCAGTGGCAGATAGGAAACAAACGGAACAGAGTCGTACAGCTGAAAGATGAATTATTACAGATTCAGTCAAAGTGTGGTTTGTTTGTGTGCATGACCTGCTCTTAGACCTGAATAAGAAGAGTCAAAACTAGAAGAGTTCCTGGAGAAACTTCAAAGAGGTCTGCCTCATGGTGCATCATAATCTTTGGGATTTTCTTTGACTACCACGACGCCAAATTTCAGATCAGTATGTCTTTAAACTGCTGCGCAATCTGGGTGCCATGTTGAAATACACAAACTCCGACATCTCACAAATAGGGTTGGGAACCGAAACTCGGTTCTATTATGGCACCGGGGCAAACATCCTTGGTAGTAGATGGACTGAAACACATCTCTAATTTCGGTGCTTTATTTCGGTGACTCAAAGAAAACTGTTAATTTGCGCCCTCTGGTGTTCACTGTTAACAGTGACAGCCTCGGCACACAATCTCCACGGACTCTCTTGTATGCGGTTTGACTCGGCTCGGTGTCAACCCAATGTGCCTCTCCAAGCGCGCTCCACAGCCGCGCTGTCTCAGAACCTCCTCTCCAGTGGTTCAGGTAGAAGCGAGTACAGCAGCTATGATTTTAATGTCAGCAGAATTCTGCCCGTGGATTAACTCTTGGATTGACTGACAGAAAATTTCCTCCTGGAGAAAGCTGCTTTTGTTTAGGAATTCGAGCACGCAGCGTGACACAAAGACATGGTGAAATAAAATTGCCTTTTTGAAAAAGGCAGAACTTGTAAACACTTAATCGAAAAAGGTGAAGGAGACAAAGCTGAGCAGATCACGGGAGGTTTTAAGCAAACTGACTGCCCACGGTTACACAAACACTTAGCTAAACAGCACCGTGATAATAAATAAATAACAAAAATGAAGTCCGAACGGTGAGAACACAACAGCTTTTTTTAAATTTTATTTTATTATTATTTTTAACACAACATCTGAAACCGCTGCAGACGGTCTGCACATTATCACACCCACTGCGTGGAGACACACGGACACTGAGCAGAACTGACCCGACCCAAAGTGAATTGGGTTCATGAAGAGGGGCTAAACAGGTGCTGCTGCAGTTAACAGTTATTTATTATACAGTATATTAGTCGAGATGTCGAAAGCAAAACGGTCCAAAGTGTGTTGTCACTTTACAAAATAATATGCAGAAACTTCCACCAACAACAAATACTTTAAGACTAGTTGGTGCAAAGCCAAATTACTAATGGTTTTAAGTTAATAAGTTGGTCAATTTCAAGTTTGACTTTGACTCAGAAATAGTTATTGCTTCATAAACCTCTGTGTGTGTGTGTGTGTGTGTGTGTGTGTGTGTGTGTGTGTGTGTGTGTGTGTGTGTGTGTGTGTGTGT